GGTGACAGGATGTGTAGTGTGGGGGTCCTTGCACTGCTAGATTTATGTATGTTCACATCTCTAATTTTCAGGGCAAATTTTTGAGGATGTGAGGCAGGCACTATAATTCCCATTGTCCAGATGAAGAAACAGAGAGAAGTGAGGTGACTTGCCCACGGTCATAGGGCTCAGAGTGTTGATAGGAGTTGATCCCAGGTGCATGCCAAAGGCCTTCCTCTCTCAGATATGCATGGGGTGCTTGGGGGACATGGGCATCTCCTGTTTTCTCCGCTTCCTACTTGCTTTCACACACAGGCCATGCCAGCTGTTGCTCACAACTACCCTGGCGGCTACGCAGGGCAGGGCAGGGTAGACAGATGTTCTTACCCCCATTGCTCAGGTGAGTGATGTTGGAACAAAGCCCAGAGAGATGATGTGACTGGGAATGCAGACCCACGAGCCTCACGCCTGGGGTACCCTCAGATTACATCTAGTCCAATCCTGTCCTGTGAGATGAGGATACTGAAGGCCAGAGAAAGAGTAGTCTGGGCCAAGGTCACTAGTTGAGGCAGTGGCAGAGCTGGGTCAGAGACCTCAGGCAAGTGGCTTCCCTTCTCCAGGTCTGTTTCCTCATGGGTACAATCAGGGGGTGCAGAACCCCAGAGGATCATGGAGGATACAGTGAGCTAGGACACAAAACACCCTCAGCCCAGGGCCTGACGACGACGAAGAAGACAAGACGAGGAGGAGGAGCAGGATGGATGCCCAGTACCACGCCCAGCCTAATGTCTCAGGGGGCTGGCTGTGGGGGCAGTGGCGGGCCTCAAAGGCCTTGGATGAAGCTAAGGGTCAGGGAAGCTGCCAGGGGCGGTGATCCTGCTACATGAAGGGATCTTGCTAAATGAGAGGAGATGGGGAGTGGCATGTGCGGGTGGGTGGGATGGTAAGAGTGCCCAGCAGGTGGCTGTGGTGCCCCCAGGACACGGCAAGCCCCTCCATGGTAGGGACAGCTTACTGCAGGGCACAAAGCACATATCTTGGCCTCACAGGGTCCTGGGTTCAAGTCCCTGCTCTGCTGCTTCCTGGCAGTGTGACTTCTGGTGAGTGACTTCCCTCTCTGAGCCTCAGTTTCCTTATCCACACAATGAGCCTATTGCCCCCTCCTCTCAGTCTTGCTTGATAAATAGAAACTGAGACCCAGACAAGGAATGGTACATGAACACTTAGAGCCACTTAATGTACCATGTCAGCAACTACAAACAAGTCACTCCACGGGTGCCTGTCCATCGGCCAATGTAGGAGCAGTGGGAGGGAGCAGGCTGCGCTGGGGAGGAGGCTGCAGGAGCTGTCAGTGCCAGGTGCACCTGCGCCCTGGACTCTGGCACATAGCAGGGGCTCAGAGGACACTTGCTGACGTGGACTGTGGGACTTTGTGGTGGGGGTCTGCGCAAGGCCCAAGGCTGGGACAGGGGGAGGCCTGCCTCTGTGTCCTGCTGGCCCTGAGAGTGAGGAGGTGGCCGTCTCTGAGGAGACCGGCCTGACCCTCCTGCGGGACCCAGAGCCTGCCTGCCTTTCCCTGGGTGTGCCTTTCTCCCTGCTCTCCTCCTCCCTGCCCAGCCTGCTCTCAGCGCTGCCCCTGCAGGGTGGGGGAGGGGGCCCTGGTGAGGCCCAGGCCAGCATGGGGAGGTGCCAAGGGGAGAGTCCAGCCAGCCCAGAGGCCTGGGGGGTATTGCCCTGGCCAGCGCTGGATCTCTGAGGGCTGCTTCCTGCTCCTTTCCAGATGAGCTTCCCTATCTCAAGTGCCCTCTACACACAGTGCTCAAACTCACGCCTGTGGCTCATGGTGAGTATCCCCAACCTGATCCAAGGAAAGGCTTATGGGGCTATGAGCATGCCCCCAGTGCCTGCCATTTGCTTAGCAGAGTCCTAGGGGAGGTTCCCTGAGTGAGTAGATGGATGTCCTGGTGGAGGTAGGACTGGTGGTAGTCAGATAACAGGGAAAGGATAGGATGGCCTCTAAATCCAGGGCCTGGCTCCAACTTTCTCTGTTTCTGACAGAGTACTGAGCACACAACACTGAGCTGTAGAAGGGGGACTCCATAAAGGGGACCAGAGGAAAATTGTAGGTTGGAGCCATATTGGAGAAAGAGCTCAGTACTCTCTTGGGGCGTTGGTTAGCTACAAAATGTTCATGAACAGGGAAGGGACTGAATCGCATCTTTTCTGGGGTGTGAATAGGGCAGAATGGCCTACTGAAGCCTGAAGTAAGGTGTAGTCCACAGGGATGGAGCTAAGGGAGCTCCCACATAGGCATTGGGCTTCCTCTGCCAGCCCCAGGCCCCAGTGATGCACCCTCCTCGTTCTTCAGGTCCCTTAGAACTCCACTGTGACCTTTAACACCCCTGGTGTTGCTTGTAACCACACGGTCCTCTAAATAAACTTTGCTGAGACTGATTGTTCAAGGCATGGCCCCAGGACTCTTCCACATCTTCAGCACCTAACATGGCTTGGAGGATCAGCAGAGATCCATCCATATTACATAGATCTCGCAGACCACAAGGGCTGGGGGAGGCCACAGATCTCTCATCTCCATCCCCATTTACAAATGGGCAACTGAAGCTCAGAGAACTAAGCCTGTTGGGGGCAGAGCAGGGAGGACACCTGTAGGCTGCCTCTCAGGCCCAGTGTATTCCTCATGCATCACACAGCTGTTTGAATCCCCTCCTTACAGGGCAGTCCTGATCTATGCACAGTATGGAGCTGGGGATGTGGGTGCTGATGGGGTGGGGGAAACAAAACCTCAGGGAAGACCTGTGCTTAACCTGGGGGCTTACAGACAGATGGGTTGTTCTTTTCCGAGGCTGCAAAGTGGAGCCCATCTACCTGAATGTGGAGGCCGTGAACACACACCGGGAGAAGCCTCAGGTAGGTGGGGGACTCCACAGCCCAAGCTGGTTGTGGACACGCACATGGCGAAAGCCCCCTCCCCCACAAAAAGGCTGCCCCAACCCCACAAAGCCTGGGTGTTTTGCACCAAAAAGTGGAATAACCAGCCTCCAGAAATGTAGGACCCACAGCGCAGACCTGAGGCACCATGGAGACTCAGGGCAAAGGCCTCAGGCTGAGATTCCCCAAGGCGGGCCTAAAAAGAGGGTAGGGATCCCGGCCTGGCTGAGAGAGGAGCCGGGCAGCAAGGACAGGAGGCAGGGGAGGGTCTGGGGCTCTACACTGCTGTGTTCTTCCTATTAATCTTGGGCTCTCTTCTCAGAATGTGGACGTCACCCGGGACCCTCAGGAAGCCTTGGACACAGTCCCTGCTCATTACTGAGCTTTTTCCAAGAAGTCAAACTGCCTGTGTCCTCATCACCTTCTATCTTTAGGAACTGCCATCCTTGCTCTTCTCCCTACCCTGAGAAGACTCTGGCCTTGGCATCACTGGGAGAGCCCTGCTACCAGTGAAGAAGCCTTCAGCAGCTCTAAGACAAGTCTCAATTCCTGGCCACAACTAAGGAACTGTCTAGCTCCGGATGAAGTTCTTTCTTTCTTAATTCATATTCTCTGATCAATAAAGACTTCTCTTACTAGCTACCGGAGGAGAATGAGAGGTCACGGTGAGGTTTCTTCCAGTGCTCTCAAGATCCTGATCCTGATCCTGACCCAGCTCTGGTGCTGTGGGGGTGTGGAATGGATGAAGACTTCCTGGAGGGAAGAGTTCTAGGGTAGCTCTTCCAAAGACGGGAGAGGAAACAGGTCCTTGTAAGTACCTGTGGGCCTTGTTCTTGGTGGGCAAGGTGGCTGGGGACATGACACCTTGATCCTTACAATTGGAGAACAATCTGGCACTTGGGCCAAGTGCTCTTCTCTTCTCCAACTTTTGCTGCCATCCTGATTTCACTGTCCATGTGAATGACACAAGCAACACCCTGGCCTCCCGGTCCCCTGACCCCCTCAACTGCAGTGATCATCTTCTCCCCTTCAGCTACCCACTCTATGAACCTTGGCATCATCTCCCCAGTCTGACTTCTTCAATGCAAGCATCCCACTGTCTGATCACTGCCCACCCCCACCCAAGTCCTTACAACTCTGTGTCATTCACAGGATCCCTAGCAGCATGCCTGCACACAATAGGCATACATGGAGTATTTCATGAATGAACAATATTTGTTGTACTGAATCGAGAGCATAGTCCTTTGATTGCTCCATTGTCTCCCAACCCATCCTCAGTGTTCTTCCATCCCTAATCAGCTTGGATCCTCTTCAGCCACTCTCCATCCACCTACTGTGGGCCAGGTACCAGCAACCCAGTGGTAAAGAGACAGACTCATACACTTGCTGCTTTTGTTCCCTTGTCCTTCCATCACAAACACCCAGAAAGACCCAAACCCTGCATAATCCACATCTCCTTTTTCTGCTGGGATCCACTACAGGGTTGCTGATCACTGCTTGAAGCAGACCTATATTTATCTGTTTCCATAGCCACCCTCAAATCCTCTTCAAAGTCAGGGTCACCTTCTATTATCTGGCACCCTAACCCATCCCACTTTCTCAGGGATGGGCTACTTCAGTCAATTTCTGATTCTTTCATGTCTATCTCCTGTCCCTCTCTATTGGCTTTTGCCCCAGTCTATGCAATATGCTCAAGTCTTTCTGTCTTATCCTAAGAAATCCCTCCCTTGTTCCTGTGTCCTCCCTTGATTACCTCCCCTTCTATCCCTCCATTCTTACACAAATGAATCAAAATGAATCTGTACTTACTGTCCAGAACCCTCTTCTTTTGCCATCTGCTCCAGGCTTTCCCCTCAATATCTTTGCTCAAGCTATTATCTTCTTGCCTGTCATGCTTTCCCCAGGTCTCTATCCTGCTGAAGTCATACTTGCCTTTGAGCCAAAAATTGGAGCCTCACCTTCCCTAAAAAGCTATGCTGATCTCCTGTTTTTCTATGAATTCAAGATGCCACAACTACCTAAGATGCCACTCCACAACTACCTAAGAACATTAAAAAACCAAAAAAAAACTCCAATTCATTTTGCAAATTTAATGTAACTCTGATAGCAAAATATGACAGCGTACAGAAAGCAAACAATAAAGCAGAAACAGAAAACAGATTTTTCATAGTATGTCACCCTCAGCTGATTGGTCATAGCTGCTTAGACTGATGTGTGGACAAAGATTGCATGGATGTACCTTGAATCCACAGGAAGGACTGCTGCAATTCATTAGCGGTATCTGTAAACCTGGGGAATAAACCTGAGAACGAAATACACAGGAACACATTTTAGCACCAAATATACTGTTTTCTCATACTTCTCTCATTGCCTCATGTTCCCATCCCACTCTCCCACCCTGGGAGAGGTTTCTTATAACATCTCCCAGCTCTTATACCCATCCTCGTGGGCCCTGGTAATGAAAATATTACAATTACCTGAAACCTCACTAGCCATAGGAGAAGCCACAGGCACCAAGGCTGGTGGCTCCACCACCAAAGCCAGCACCAGTGCTCGGTCCACCGCTGAAGCCAGTACCGGTGCTTGGTCCACCGCCGAAGCCAACACCGGTGCTCGGTCCACTGCTGAAGCCAGCTCCAGTGTTTAGTCCACTGCCGAAGCCACTGGTGCTTGGTCCACTGCAGAAGCCAGCACCAGTGCTTGGTCCACCGCTGAAGCCAACAATAGAACTGGGTCTACTACTGAAACCGGTGCTGGTGCTGGGTTCTCCAGTAAAGCCATTGCTGGTGTTGGAACCACTGCCAAAGCCAATGATGGTACTCAGTCCTCTGTTGAAGCTGGCATTAGGCCCACTGCCAAAGCCATCGCTGGTGCTGAGGCCACCACCAAAGTCAGCACTGGTGCCAAGTGTGCTGCCAAAATCAGCATTAGTGCCCAGTCCACCACCAAAGCCATCGCCGGTGACCAGTCCACCACTAAAGCCAGCACTGGTACCTAGTCCACCACCAAAGCCAATGCTGGTGCCCAGTCCACCACCGAAGCCAGAGCTGGTGCCTAGTCCGCCACCGAAGCCAGTGCTGGTGCCTAGCCCATCATCGAAGCTAGCATTGGTGCCTAGGCCACCACTGAAGCCAGTGCTGGTGCTCAGTCCACCACCAAATCCAGCACTTGTGCTTAACACATTGCCAAAGTTGAAACCGGCACTGGTGCTGGGTCCATCACCAAAACTGGCACAGGTAGCACCACTAAAGCAGGCACTGGTGCTAGGAGGGCCACCAAAGCATAGGTTGGTGTTAGATGCACTGCCAAAGCAGAGGCTGGTGCTGGGAGCTCCGCCAAAACAGAGGCTGGTGCTGTGAGCACCACCAAACCTGACACTGGTGCTGGGAGCACCACCAAAACTGATGTTCATGCTGGGAGCACCACCAAAACCCATATTGTTTCTAGGAGTACCACCAAAGTCAGTAGTGGTACTAAGTGCCCCACTGAAGTCAGCGCTGGTGCTGAATGCACTGCCAAAGCCAGAGTCGTTGCTGGGTGCAACACTGAAGCCAGCACTGGTGCTGACAGCACCGCCAAAACTGGCACTGGTGTTGAGTGCACTGCCAAAGCTGGCACTGGTGTTGAGTCCTCCACCAAAGCCAGCACTGGTTCTGGGAGAGCCACCAAAGCAGACACTGTTGCTTAGTGTACTGCCAAAGTTGGTGCTGGTGCAGACAGCACCACCAAAACCAGCACTGGTGCTGGGAGAGCCACCAAAGCAGACACTGGTGCTTAGTGTACTGCCAAAGTCAGTCCTGGTGCAGACAGAACCACCAAAACCAGCACCGGTGTTGAGTCCTCCACCAAAACCAGCACTGGTGCTGGAAGAGCCACCAAAGCAGACACTGGTGCTTAGTGTACTGCCAAAGTTGGTGCTGGTGCAGACAGCACTGCCAAAGCCAGCACTGTTGTTGGCTGCACAACCAAAGCCCGCACTGGTGCTGGGAGAGCCACCAAAGCAGACATTGGTGCTTAGCATACTGCCAAAGTCAGTGCTGGTGAAGACAGCACCACCAAAGCCAGCACTGGTGTTGAGCATTCTTCCAAAGTCGGTACTGGTACTGGGAGAGCCACCAAAGCAGACACTGGTGCTTAGCGTACCACCAAAGTTGGCACTGGTGTTGGGAGAGCCACAGAAGGAGACACTGGTGCTGAGTGTACCACCAGTGTTGGTGTTGGGGGAGCCACCAAAACAGATACTGGTAGTGAGTGTACCTCCAAAGCTGGCACCAGAGCTAGGAGAGCCACCAAAGCAGACACTGGTGCTGAGTGTGCCTCCAAAACCAGTGCTGGTGCTAAGTGCACCACTGAAAACTGTGCTCGTGGTGGGCACATTGCCGAAGCTCGTGCTGGTGCTGAGTACAGCACTAAAGCCAGCAGTGGTGCTGAGTGTGCCTCCAAAGCCAGAGCTGGCTCCACCACTGAAAGTGGCACTGGTGTTGAGTGGACCACTGAAACTAGAGCTGACTCCATCACTAAAGCTGGTACTGGTACAAGGTGTGCCACCAAAGCTAATGCTGGCTTGACTGCTAAAACTAGAGCTGGTGCTAGGTGCACCACCAAAGCTAATACAGGCTGTACTGCTGAAGCTGGGGCTAGTGCTGGACACACCACTGAAGGTAATGCCAGCTCCACCACCAAAGCCACCACTGGGGCTGGGTGCACCACTGAGGCTAATACTAGCACCATCGCTGAAGCTAGCCCTGGTGCTAGCTCCTCTGCTGAAGTTGACATTGGTGCTGGCATCTGCATTTTCTTGGGCTCTGCCCTCAATTTCAAATGAAAATCTGCTCCAGGCCTGAGCATCATCACCTAACTCTTCCCTTGTTAGGCAGTCAATATCCATGTCATCCCAATTCCAGGGCCCAGCCACGGCTTCCTCTCCAATCCCCATTTGGGCTCTTGCCTCAGCCCTGGCCTCAGCCTCGGCCACAGCCACAGCTGCAGCTTGGACTTCCATCTCCACTGCCTCCCGGTACTGAGCAGCCCAGTCCTTGGGGTCTTTCTTCTGCACCTAAAATGGGAATTATAGTCATTATAAGGAAAATAACTCTTGTAATCATGTATTAAGCACCTACTATAGGGTTTGTATAGAAGTAATAACAATATTTTTTTAAAATTCCTAGTTACTAGAGCTCTATCATGGGTCAGTCCTGAGATCTAATTTCAGCTCTGATAACTTAGGTGCTATACAACCTTGGACAAGTTACTTAACCTCACTGAGCCTAAGTGTCTTCATCTATAATATGGGAAATGATAAGAAAGTATGTTATGACCTGAATGTTTGTGTCCCCCCAAAATCTATATGTTGGATCTCCAACCCCCAATGTGACTGTGTTTGGAGATAGGGCCTTTATAGAAGTAATTAAGGTTAAATGACCCATAAGGGTGGGGTCCTGATCCAACAGGATTAGTGTCCTTATAAGAAGAGACACTAGAAAGCTCGCTTTCTCTCTCTGCCACGTGTGGACACAGCAAGAGGGTGGCCATCTGCAAGCCAGGGGGAGAGCCCTCACCAGAAAGTGACCATGCTGAACCTTGATCTGGGATTCTCACCCTCCAGACCTGTGAGAAAATAAATTTCTGTTTTTCAAGCCACTCAGTCTATGGTTATGGCAGCCGAAGCTGATTAATACAAAGTATGAAGAATGAATGAGATGATGTAAACTATATATCTAGCAGCATTCTGGGACATGAATGACGTTCCATATGTTTATATATGAACTTCAGACTGCTCTGTACCTGACCATCCCTGCACATTGCCTGACCCAGCCAGGGGAATCCTATTCCCTTAATATGCCAAACTCAGGCAGCTTTCCTAATACCTTGCATGCAAATTTGAGGACTTTCATCTTGCTAGTCTCATGGTAGGAGCGCAAGCCCCAGAAGAACTCATATTCAGGTGGTCTGCTGTTGGGGACCCTCTTGTACTCCAGGTACCTTGGAGAAAGGAAATGACACTTGTTTTGAACCAAGCAAACCTGTTGTCTAACCACTAGGCATGAAGTAGCAACCTCCTCCAAACAAATACTCAATAGCCCCTGGAGAAGGATTTCTAAGGTCCTCTAGACCCAGACTCATTCCCAAACAGAGTTCATGGTCTCAGCTTCTAATACTGAGCCGTTTCCCATTGGCTCTGTGCAAAGGAGTCACTTGGGGTGCTGCAGTGGAGGCATATATAGGGCATTATGTCACAGGAAGGCCACAGTATCCTGCCACCTGTAGGAGTAAACCCAGATTTCTGTTGGGTGTGTTGTAAACAGAGGGGCCATTCTTCAGGTCCCCTGCTCTGAGCACACCCCACTACAAGGGCCTTGTGTTGAGTCTGACCCAGTCCTGGAAAAGTCTGCCCATGGGAATTTTAGGCAGGACTCAATTCTAGAAAACAGGGTGCCCATCCCTCTAAAGCTAGTGTAAGAAAGGTGGTGACCGAGCACTTTCTGGATCAGATCAGTATGCCCAGAACACTTCAGGGCCAGACAAAGCCACCAAACACCACTTACTTCTGCTTGACAAACTCGTCTGTGATGAGCTTCCTTACTTCCCCAAACAGTGAATGCTTCACCCTGACAATGGGAAAAATAACCTGTGAACACAGATCAGAACTGCCCAGATGAGGGCAGAGGCATTACCCAACATGGAAGAGACCTCTCTAGCACGTGGGGCAATCTCAATGAGGTGAAGAAAGAAGTGATCATGTGGCCACTAGAGCAAGTAGCAGATGGCTCTTTGTCAGAGATACCTGAAGGTTTATCTAACATCTCAGCTTTGAACAGACAGAGGACATAGGGGAGAGAGGGAGCAGAGAGTTCAGGACCATTTCCCCATTCACCCAGGTCAGAACCCTGGGCCCTCTCCACCAGACCACCAGGCTGATGCAATCCTGGGACCGTCCTCTCTTGCCAAAGGACAACATGGACAGCAAGCACTGAGAGAGCCCAATCATACCCAGGGCGCAGCCCCAACTTGCGTAGCACCTCCCAGATGACAGCTGCAAGGGGAGGCAAGAGGAGAGAGGGACAGAAAATGAACACTTGGAATCCAGATCATGGCCACCCATTCAGCTGCACACCAAGCCACTCACCCTCACTGGCCTTGTTGCCATTCATAAAAATGACACTCAGAATCACCATGAGGAGACCCAACTTGGGTGTGTCCTTGGTCCTAAGGGAATAATAGGACAGAGAGGTTTATGCCTAGCAGCCATCTGGAAAAGACACACCAGCCAGCTCACTAGGCTAGCCTCTCCCACATTCCTCAGATATGGGAGAATTCTGCCGAGTCTATGGTTCAAGCTCCATGTGACCCTGGGCAAGGCACGTAGACTTGTAAGCCTCAGTCTCCTATTCAGCAAAACGAGAAAATCACATCTTCCCTTCCCAGTTCGCCAAGAAGATGGAAGGATGCCTGTCAACCTGGTACAACCCAGGCACCCAGTCAGCATGAGTCCCTTCTTTCTCTCCCAGACCCCTCGGCCCCGAGAGAATTCTACGCAGGGACCCACTGACAATGCTCCACATGACCCTGGGCAATTTCCCAGCTTGCTCCAAGCTTCACTTTCTATATATATGCAGTAAGGAGGTGAGGCCATGGTAAAGTCTCTTTCATGTGAATCTATGGTGATTTGCCAGTCTGACTTCAAGTTGAAGCCATGACTCTATTCTTGGTCATTCCTTGTCTGGATTGGTTATCTCCTAGGGTCAAGTCTAGCCTTCCCTGGTAAACTAGGTACTCCTTGAGGACAGGGCCAGCATTTTGTCTTTCTCTAACTCCCCACAGCATGGTGAAGGGAGTAAGCACTACACAAAGATATATGCAGAAAAAAGCACATCCAAATCTTTCTTGCCCTTAGAGCATTCTGATCCACCCATACCATGAAGCTCTCCTTGAGAACCACTCTACCAATGCCTGGTCAGGGACTCAGTAGGAAGAGAGACAAGCAACAATAGTCCTGCTTTCCTGGGAAGCTTCTGGAGAGACAGGGAACCTGACAGCAGGAATGCCCCACCCCAGTCTCTTACAGGCTTCAGTCAATCATAATCAGACACCACTACTGAGCGCAGGGCTCCAATTATGTGCGGGGGCTGGGACAGGGGCTTTGGGGGCCCTGTCTTTCCTGACCCTCTAAGAGGATGTAGGGAGAGAGGACAGGGAAGAGCTAGAACCATGAACAAAAGCAGAATCCCCCTCCCACCCCAGCCCTTTCCCAACTTACGTTCCCAGTATGCCTGCAGAGGATTCCTGATTGTTGATGAGAATATACAAGCTACTTTGCTTATCAATTTCCTTCAGATTGACTCGAAACATCTGCCAAGTAAAAGAATAGCCTGTGAGATCACAAAATTCAGCTTAGGCATTAATGAGCTTCCCAGGCATGCCGTGGCTCCCCATGTACCTAGGGGTTTTGTGCATGTGAGAAATCAGTGAGATAATGCACATAAAGCACATAATTAAGTGCCGGCAGCCAGTAAACACACAGCAAATGTACTATTGTCATCAATGTCATCTTGATTAGTGGAAACCTAAGGAGACAGACAATGAGGAATGCAAGGGACAGGTGAGCATCCGAAATACATGTCAGGATGTGTCCAGCTGCAGACAGAAGCTGGGACTAAGTTGGGTGGCTTGGGTCCTAGCTATGCTTTTGTTACTGACTTGCTGCGTAACCCATGGCTAGTCTACACTGCTCCCTGGGCCACTGTCTACCCATCAGCACAGTGATGGGCTGGACTAGCTGGTCTCTGTGGTTCCCCCAAGAAGGGACATGTATACCTTTGTTTGATTTGAATCCTCCCCATTGCACCCATCCCCCAGGGCAGCCCTTTCACCTTTTCCAGAGCATAGCTTGCTCGTTCAATGATCTCTGGGAAATATTCATCACATTCTTGGATGACATCCTTCAGCATGTCTGCAGGAAGGGAAAGGTGGGAGCAGGCTGAGCAGGGGCCACAGAGCTACAGCCCTTTTGCCAGTCCTGTGGGGTCAGTGCAACCAGAGACCTGAACTGTGTTAATGGGAGATGCCAGCCATCGCAGAGTATAAGGGTGGAGAAATGAGAAAACGAGGAGGCCATAAAGGTAAAAGGTTACCCCCAGACCATGAGGGGAGAGGAGAGTGGAGAGATTAGCTCAAGGAGGAGGGTTGGAAGTGAGGTATCCCAAGAATGGAAAGACAAGCACCACATGTACTCACCATCAAATTGGTATTAACTGATCAACACATACGTGCACATATAAGAATAACGGGTCTGGGGGGGGGGGGGGGGTGGGTATATGCATACACAAAGAGTGCAATGCACACCACCCAAAGGATGGACATATTTGAAACTCGGACTTGGGGGGGGAGGAGGGGGCAAGGGCAATATACGTAACCTAAACATCTGTATCCCCATAATATGCTGAAATAAAAAAAAAAGAAAAAAGGAAAGAAAAAAAAAAAGGAGGAGGGTTGGTAGGACACTACCTGAGCGCTTGATGGGGATCTTTGTCTGGTCCTTAACCAACAGGTATTTCACCAACTTATTTGCCTGAGAGAAGAGGAATGGATGGGGAGATCTCAATATGTTTACAGAAAATTTGGAAGGGGCAGAGAAGAGGACAGGTGAAGAATAGACTGGGCAGCAATGGATTCTTACCCTTTCTTGCAAAATGGCCACATCTCGGTGTGGTGGAGGCCTCCGGCCCCATGGGATCCGCCTGTAATTACTGCCACTTCTCTCATCCCCATTCAGATGCCTGAACTTCATCATCAGAAAGAATGAAGATCCAGAGTCACCAAGTGAAGGAGAGAGCTTTGTCTCCTCATCTGCCTCCTCCAGAAAGTCTCCTTAAACCTTCCCCTGTAGTGGGGCCTGACCCTACCATTGGCCGCCCTGAGTCCTGGGCTTATCTCTCATTGTCTCCCAGCAGGAGTTTCATTCCTCTGCCAGGCCAGGAGCAACCCAAGGACAGGGCCTGAGGCTCCTCCTTTTCCTTTTGACACCACCGATTCTTCTAGCTGGTACCCCTTAGACAAGTCACTTCACCTCTCTGGGACTCAGTTTTCTTATGTGTAAAACTGAGACCTATGATCCTTTGTTGGTAAGAGTTACTTTCAAGACATAAAGATAAAACCTGTATAAACGTACCCAACACAAAGTTACCATGTGGCGTGTGGTAACTACTACATAAATACAAATTAAATTACATACAGGTTGTAGCTAAGTGTATGGATGTCTTCTTTCCCCACCAATCTGTGAACTGCCAGGGAGCAGAAACTATATCACATTCTCCTTAGCATCTTCTGTAGCCTATCTGAACACAGGGATTGGCTCAAAGTAAAAAGATTCAGGCCGGGCGCGGTGGCTCACGCCTGTAATCCTAGCTCTCTGGGAGGCCGAGGCGGGCGGATTGTTGGAGCTCAGGAGTTCAAAACCAGCCTGAGCAAGAGCGAGACCCCGTCTCTACTAAAAATAGAAAGAAATTAATCAGACAACTAA